AAAGTCACGTTCACAGGCATTGGTGGCAATACATTGGGTTCATCGATTGGCGAAGTTAGGTTAAGAATTAAATTAAGGGATGGAGGGTTTTTAACTGAAAAATTTCATGTGGTAAAAGGCATAACCACATATCAGCCGAGGAACACAACCCCTAAATGGAATAATTTGAGCGCAAAACTGGCTGACGAACATTACACACAGCTAGGAAAAATTAATGTCCTTTTCGGGGTTGGATTCTGGGTAAAAATTTTGGAACCTAAGTTACTTAAGTCTAAGAATAATTTGACCATTGCCCAAAAAACCAAATTGGGTTATGTAATTTTTGAATCAGAAAGGGATCCATATGAGAATGAGTTTCCATATATTGGATCCGTATTAGAGGGTAATTCTATTAAAAATTTATTAGACCAAATCAAAAAATTTTGGGAGGTCGAGGAAATTTCTTTGGAAAAGAAAAGAACACTTGAAGAGGAAAAGTGTGAGGAGATCTTCATAAGTGGACATTCACGGGACAAAACAGGGAGATACATAGTGAGAATGCCATTTAATGAGAAAATTGAAAAATTGGGACATTCAAAGAAGAGTGCCCTCCATCAATTTTTCAAAATGGAGTATAAAATGAAAAGGAATACAGAATTCGGGGATAAATATCGATTATTCATGCAAGAGTATGAAGCACTGGGCCATATGCAACGCATATCAGAGAGGGATGAATCTGGTTATTACACCCCACATCACGGAGTACTATCGTCGGAAAAATTTCGTGTGGTTTTTAATGCATCCTCCAAAACAACCACTGGAATTACATTGAACGAGTGTCAACTAACGGGAGAAAAACTGCAACCAGATTTACAGCTGATCTTGCTAAACTTTAGGAAGTATCGCTTTGGTGTCACAGCGGACATTGAAAAAATGTATCGGCAAATTCTAGTGCATCCATCTGAACGGAAATTCCAGAAAATACTTTGGAGAGCTAGAGAGGGAGATCCAATTGGCGTATTCGAACTGAAGACAGTAACTTATGGACATACATGTGCACCTCACTGTGCAATTCGAACATTGATGCAATGCGCAATTGATCATGAGGCAAAATATCCAAGGGCTGCCAAAATAGTTAAAACTTGTTTTTATGTCGACGACCTTCTGGCTGGCGG